AGCTCTTTTCAAAAATTCTCAAACACTTGTGGACAGAGGGACAATTTTACTTTTCACCTGACAGCATTTATAATTCAAACATAAAACAACACTACAGTCGATGTTTAGTCATTATAAGATTATGATTGATTGCTCTCTGTTCCAGCTGCAATTACTTTTAGAAATAACAGAGCTATCACTTGTTGAGAGCTGATGAGAAATATTTCAACAATTGGAATGGCCACTATATCCTACTGGTATGTCTTGTGAAATTATAGGAGATACCTTCAGCTTACGACCTTGGTTCTATGCCAAGCCCATACTTCAAGTTGAAGTTGAGGTTTTTAATTAAAACCTTTTAATGAAGGTTTTGAAAAGGACAAATCATAATTCAGTGAATAAATTCAGTGTATTCCAGTCAAATGTGTTAAATTTTGAAAAGTTTAAACTTTTTAAAACCCTTATCATAACTGAGTGGTAAGTGGCAAATTTTTAAAATTGTAATTCAAATGATTTCACTAGATTTCATGATTTAAATAGGTTATATAAACTGCTCATTGTGGATTTGTCATCTTCAGAAGTTATTGGTGGTTTTTGATGAACAATTTTCTCACTGCTTATATGTACTCATATACTCTATATAGCTACTTTTATGTGCCTGTCCTCTTCTTTTCTGATTTGTGGCTCTTTTACTTACAGCCAATCAAGAAAATGTACTGGTGAAATACTGACACTAAAGTGTGGCTGAGTAGTTGTGATAACAGAAAGTATGTGCTTCTTACATGGCTATTAACACACTGTTATCAAATTTCCCTTGATGTTTGGTGTGATGAGTTGGACGTCCATGTGACTGTGTACAGTTACCTATGATGAACTTTGACATCTATAACCACATGACAGCTAAGAAAAGCTTGTTTAAGAGCACTAAAATTAAAAACAGGCTTTTAATTTTTTATGTACTTACGTAATTTCAGTTCTGATGAAGAATCACTGGAGTCAAAAAGTTAACTTTGTTTTTCTCTCCACAGGCGCTGCCAGACCTCCTGAGTTTCTCCAGCACTTTCTGTTTTGTTTGCTTTTAATTTGTTATTTTGATAATGGCTTAGTATTGTACTCTTGCATTTTCTAGTTTTGCAAACACGTTAAAGCATCTGTTAAGTAATCCAGTGATTAGGATTTTTTTTTTGTTTTTGTTTTTGTTTACCTAGACATTTGAAGGAAAAGCATACAGCCAGATTGGAGAAGTTCAAGGATGCTCCCATTCAAGATCCAGCTTTTTCAGTGGCAACGTCCTCTTCGTATCCTGAAAAAATCAAGTCGAAATCAAAGCGAAAGAAAAAACACAAGAAACATTCACATGAAGAAAATAGCCAAGAAAAGCACCAAACTTCTACAACTACAAAACCTACTTATTCCTCAGCAGATAGTACAGGTGAATTGCCATGGTGTAAAATATGCAAGTCTTCTGAATTCTGCAGACATGCACTTAAACGCAAAGCAGTGCCATCAACTGAGGAAGAAGATCTTGAGTTGTTGAAGTCAAAAGCAAGTTGCTCTTCATTTGAATCCTTACAAACTGGTTTTAAAGACTACATAAGCAAAGTATATTTACAAGAAGCTAAAGGGGCGACTGGAATACATGAGAAGGACAGAAGTCAATGCTGTGCAATTAAATCTGTGCATGGAACAAGCAAACTCACTGTTTCGTGTGATGAACTGAAACATAAGGAAATTGAAACCAAAGAACAGACAAAATCTTTAACAGAGTTGCATAAGAAATTGAATAATTCAGATATAAAACAAAACTTTAAGGATTCGTATGAAGTTCTAAGAAACTTTGAAGAACGAGATACCTCCAAAAAAAATTCTGATATTTTTGTGAAGTTGCACGAGAAGCCTTGTAGCTCTGGAAAATCATTTGATGTGTGGAAAGTAACCAGCGCACCCCTGAAGCCTGTCAAAAATACAGGAAATTCTAGTGAAGGTTCAAAAATTCCAGAATCTGTTATTTGGGAGAAGTGCAATAAAATATCTAATTGCTTGAGAGAACGCAGAAAAAAATCTAAAATATTGGAACAGGCTGGCAATGAGTCCAGCACAGTAAGAACGGCATCTTACTTAGCCAAAAATTTGGGAAAACCCAATGATCAGTTAAAATCCTCAGGGATTGAAAAACCGAATATAATTTCTAAGGATCAAAAAAGCTCTGAATCGTTTGGTAAGAATTACAAACAGTCATTAAGGCCCTGTAATGATTCTGAAGGGACCACATTGGTTCAAGAAAGAAAAGGAGTATCAGAATATCCACAAAAACATCAGCTTGAAATCATGGATTCAGACTTAACTCAGAAGTCTGGACTCTTTGAAAGAACTGATGTGACAGTATTATCATCAAATTCTGAAAAAGTTGAGGAATTTGAAACTCCAAAACAAACTAAAAAGTTTAATAGTTTTAAAATTCTTAAAAAGGCCTATGCTACTGATGCCTTGTCACAGCGTATTTCTCAAAAGTTATTAACTTCAAGTGCTGCTCAGTCAAAGTGTCAATCTTCAGACAATGCAACAAAATCTGCTTCGAAACAGCAGGATCATGTACTGTTTGCACATCAGCCGGTAATAGAAATTTATTTCCTTTCCTTATCTGATGGATCGTAATGTTTATAATGATTTTTAAATAGATAAAATAGATCAGCAATGCAGAACATCCAGATTTAGCAGACAACTTAAGCCACAGCATTTAATTTGGAAAATCGCAGTAGTCCTCAGTGGTGCTACTTCTGCAAATGAATTGAAATGCTTAACGTAAGATAGCTTTTTAAAGTGCATTAGTGTCCAAAGATTCTTTTACAGCCCTTTCTGGTTAAGCGTGTTCATATTTATCAATATTTCCTTCTTTATAAGTAACTGAAAAGTCACTGTAATTGCCTATAAATGACTAATGTTGACTATAATGTAGTACTGACCTTATTGTTCCAATTTAACATTTAGTTTTTCACCATATTGATGTCCATAATGTCAAAAACAAACTTATAAACTCCAGCCTTTTATTTGTGACTATGTAGCTCTTCTGAGCTCATAGTGTAAATTGAACAAGAGAATATGATTTAATGTAACAGGGTATTATATTAATGTTGGATATTTGGTAAAAGATTAAAGTATATTGCTTTTATATTTAGCTGATGCAGAGATGAATGAACTTGAGTGTATTTATTACGAAAAAGGCAGCTTAAGTTAGAGACCACCTTGCCAATGATTGTTATAATGATATAATGGTGTGCCAGTTTAACCCTCTTTTTACTATGTTTTAATCCTTCAAGGATTCTCAGAAATGGAATTCATCTACAGCTTTATCAGATAATGTGGATATGGATACTGATCAAAAGGTGGGTGTTTTGTTGACAAAGCATCCAATAATTGGTATGACTGCTAATTTTCTAGACCATCAGTAAAACCATTAGAATCAATAATATGTATAACTTTTCCTATGGAAAGTACTGTTGAAACTTAGATTGTTGTTAGGCTAGTGGTTTTCAAGTTTAAGTGATTGGATCACTAAATTTTAGGTGCATTACATAGGAACTTATTTTAGTTGAGAGCCTAATCTAGGCAAACTACAGACGAAAAATGACGGTCATCGTATTATAGTTTTGGACTGTTACCTTCACTGGGTAATACAGGTTCAATAGCTCCAAGATATATTGCTGCTTGATGTTGCTGTTTCGAGGGTTACTTTTTAAATTGTTACTGTGCTGCACTGAACTTAATTCCTGGAGATGATTTAAATACTTTTTTTATTCCTGCATTGGAACTTTACATCTGAATTACACTGCGTGGTTACTTTTCACAAAAAGCTGGAAGTTCTTTCCACAATTGCAAACCAGTCACTATATAATTAACCTATGAATACATTTGGCGTATTGTTTTCAAAAAAGTTTTTAAAAATTGTAATGAACCATTAATGATATAATTATTAATACAATACGACTTTTACAATTCTTTTCCACCCAATCCCAGCCATGTTAAAAGAACTCAGTTCTCTCAAGTCCAAGGTTGGTCATCTTCAGCCATTGTTGACCAGCCCACAATTTTTTTTATTTTTTAAATGATGAAAAATACAAAACATCTTGAGGTGCAAATATCTTTTCCTTACAGTAAATGACACTACTGTACAAGATGCATTGAATTTTTTTTGGTACACTGAATATGTTAAGAGCTATCATGATTCAGACTTTCTGATATTAATGATTGGTAAGTAGTCTGTGGGATGGCAACATTGAGGAGCAGTGTAAATTGGATATATTATTGATTCTGTATTGCCCTGCACAGCTTACAGGCCAAAGACAATTGTGTGACAATATATGACAATTATCACTTTTCTTCTGCAGCTCAGTAACATTAAGTACTTCAAAAAAAAATTTAATTGTGATGTAGTTAAAATGTAATGATTTGTCCATTTTAAGACATTGGGTTCCATTGGCATTCCATTTAAACTAACCTGAATTGTTAAATTACTGGGCAATAGAAATACTTAAAATTAGTCAATTGTGACATTTATAAAATGTAGAGGAAAATGATGAATTTGCATTTTCAATATTAGAAGCCTTATCTGAATGTGGGAACACTTGTTATTTTTCAATAACTAGGCTTGTCGGTGATATTTTATCATTTGTAAACTTTTCTGGCCGACGGAAAAATAATTGAATACCAGCCAAGGACTACATTTTCCCATCTTAGTTCCTTCAGAGCTAGTACTGAGGGCAGAAGAGTGCAGAGATCTGTGCAAGTTGCAATTAAACAATTTGCTGATTGACTCTGAAGTACAGGACTTGTATATTGCATTTTATGGGCCAGTTGCATTTCTTTCCTGCTCTGCCCCAAGTCTCTGACTATTGAATATTTGTAACAGGGCTGAGAAGGTTTATATGATATATATTACAGGAGAGGATTTCAGGGGTCAGTTAGTGAGTTCACAATGATCTGGCTTCCCACCTGCACTTGTTTATCTTGACATGACTATTTAAGTTTTTATTTTATATTGTCAGCACTACAGTATTGATGTTTGCAGTGTGGGGTCAACTTGCTTGATGGTTATTGACTGTAAGTTGGTTGTTGAAACAAGTTTATCAAATCTCGTGCTTATTGCACGATGATAAGGTTGAGTGTGTTTCTACCTGTGGCAAGCTGTCTAATAATTGTAATCAGCATAACGCAAGGATAGATCATAATAGAGTTTTTCAGGGTCAGAGAGGATTGTAAGGCTTTCCTCTTGTTCGAGATGATTATTACCAAGCAGTTATATTGCAATCATGTTCATTCATTCATTCGTCGGCAATCCTTCGCAGGCAGGGCTGACTCACTTCCACTCTGAGGGTGAGTCTTTTGGTGGCTGTACAGACCGATAAGGCTACCACAGGCTCTATTACGTAAGGGCAAGTGGTGGTCACGGGGAGGGCTAGGTGGGGAATTGGTGTGACAAGGTGCTCGTTTTGCTGTTTTCACCTGGCTTCCCTTTTTCCTCACGGTAAATCTTGAGGTGCTCAATGCCTTCTCGGATGCACCTCCTCCCAGTGATTCCCAGGTGTCTATGGGAATGCTGCACTTCGCCAGTGAAGCCCTGAGGTATCACTGAAGCACTTCCTCTGTCCACCTGCGTGAATACTATCAGCCACTTGTCTACCAAGTTCTAATGTTATTCAAGACCTGATGTAGGCTGCCTTGGGCTGGTTCACTTTTAGAAGTGTAAATACAACTGAACACCGGAATTATTAGGAAAAAGCCTCATTTCTCACTTTCCAATGGAGGATAAGTTCTTGACAAGTGTTGGATAATTTTTGGCTTAAGACACTTTCTTGAGAAATATTTCTTGCACCAATGTTCATTGGCTGTGATTATAGGCCTCCAACAAACACAAATAGCTTTATTTCTAACAGGTATGATTGTAGTCACTGGAGGGGTTTCCCCTTGACCTCTTAATAATAGCTACTTACATTTCCTTTCTCTGTCAGCTTTTGTATGTGTGTTGAAGTATATCTGTATTGTTTTCTTATTGGTAATTCAAGGCACAAAGCAATATTATTTATATCAGTGACATGAGACCAATGCAAATTAATTGGGACGTAAATTTAAACTTTATGCATAGCCCTTGCGACTCATAGTGCACTGTTATGTAATCCACAAAGCTAATTTGACCATAAACATGTTGTTAATGTATTTGCTAAAAAGTGCTTGTATTTATTGTACTTTTTTTTTATTCCCCTTATTTAACCTTGATCCGCTTGACTATTCATCTTTAGCTTTACTTTGGTGGTTGGTACAAGGGGGTCATTTGGCTGGATGGTTTGGTTTGTGACACTATATAGGTCCAGTTCCTGCACTGGCTGAGGTTACCATGAAGGGCTCACCTTCTCAACCTCTTCCCTTGCCTGAGGTGCGGTGACCCAGTTAAACCACTACCAGTTATCTCTCACTTATGAGAGAACGGCACTGTGGTCTGGTGGGACTATGGCAACTTTACTTTTACCAAAAATGAAAAGAGCTATGTTTCAACTCAAGGACTGTATTAAACTAAACAGCCTTGTAGGTCTCCTGTCAATCATACAATGTTCAAAGCTAACCAATGGGACAACTGAGATGGTGTTTGCAGTAAGGCATTGAGAAGAAAAATACAGAAAGCAACATTGGGACCGATATGTGCTGCCCTCAGAACTAACTAAAGCTTTTGACAGTGAGAATCAACCTGGACCATGTGAAAATCTTGCACTTACATTGAGCCATACCATCATACAGTATTTGGGCCTGTGGCAAGATGTCTGATGCCTTTGTGGCAGCCAACTCTGTAAAGCAAGGGGTGTATCATGGCTCCCCCAACTCTTCAGTCTCCTTGTTACTGTCATGCGTAAGGAAATGACGAAGAGCAGACCCGCAGGCATTGACCTTGGGTTCCATTCAGGCAAACTCTTCAATCTCTCCAAACAGCATGCTTTCACCAAAGTCAGAAACAGTAATTAGAGAATTTCTGTATGGAGAAGACTGTGCCCTAGCTGCCAACAGTAAGGAAGATATCCAGAATTAATTTCTTTCTTAATTTCTTGGGACGTGGGTATTGCTGGCTGGCCAGCATTTATTGCCCATCCCTAGTTCCCCTTGAGAAAGTGGTGCTGAGGTGCTGCCTTGAACTGCTCCTGTCCACCTACTGTAGCTAAATCCTCAATGCTATTGGGGAGAGAATTCCAGGATTGTGACCCAGTCACAATGAAGGAATGATGATAAATTTCCAAGTTTGGATGGTGATTAGTTTGGAGGGAAACTTGCAGCTGGTGGTGTTCCCATATACCTGCTGCCCTTGTCCTTCTAGATAGAAATAGTCGTAGATTCGGAAGGTGCTGTCTCAGGATCTTTGGTGAATGGTGAACCAACTCTTGAGTGTTGCCAAACATTTTGGTCTCAAAAACAGTCTCTTTAAGCCCAAGATTATATTCCAGTCAGCACTGAGCACACATGGAGTACCAGACATAACTATCGATGGCGCCAACGTAAGCTTTTAGAGAAATTCTTAGATCTTGGCAGTGTCCTCACTACAGATGCCACAAGTGATAGTGATGTTGGTGTGTGTATCCAGAGAGCAATTTCTGCCCAAGACAGACTCCAGGATAATATCTAGAAGCAGCATGGCATCAAGTTGAAATGCAAGATCAAAATCAACCCTGTTGTGTGGCATAGACTTCTGGTTCTGCTATATGCACCACATCAAAGCTGTACTACGCTTCTACCAAAGACACCTGAGGTCTATCATGAAATTTCATTGGTAAGACAGTTACGAATGACGTCGGTCTTCATCATGTTGAGCATAGCATCATGGAGATTATCTTTCAGAAAATTCAATTACATGGGCAGTCCAGTTCTCCCACATCCCATAAGCAGATCTTCCTTAGGGAACTGTTTTGGAGCAAATGACAGAAAAGACATCAGTGAAAACAACACAAGCTCCCTTAACAAGACTCTTACAAAAGCCTTCATTGTAGCCCATTGGGAAACATTGCAGGAAAGCTTGCCCATTTGGAGGCAAACACTGAAATTCGGTCCAACCTGCTTCAATAACTATTCACTCCAAATTGGCAACATCCAATATGCTGATGTAGCCCAGAGATGGTACAGGTACATCTTCCTTTATCACCAATAAAGGCGCCAGTTCTGGGACTGTTCATGATCTTGTATTAACCTCTTTTCAAGAGTGAACCCACAGAAGATGATGCAGTCACTTACAGCTTGGTCATATTTGAAGAACAAGGAGTCTATCACCACATTACAATGAAATCAAAAGCAATTATGAGTAACTCCTGCAGACTGTTAATATCTGGCTCTGCTCTTCCACTAAATTTGACTATTTTTATTTGAAACTGGCTTCTCAGCAGGCAGATTCTATTTTTGAATAGATCCGAGTGTGTTGACAGTAGTTAGTTAGTGTGAAATTTGTGATAATCTGAACTTCCCAAAAATCCCGTTTTTACAAGCAGAACTTAGTGTGTTTTTGTTTTTTACCCCTTGAAATGTAATGTAATAATTTTGTGTTAGTACATAATACATAGATACCTAGAACAGTACAATGTAGGAATAGACTGATCAGCCTGCCATGTCTGTGCTGACCATGATGCCATTCTAAACTAATGCCATCTGCCCTGCACATGGTTCATATCCCTCTCTACTTCCTGCCTGTTCATGTGTCTGTCTAAATGCCTTTTGAATGTTGCTGTCATATGCTTCTACCACCTCCCCTGACAGCGTGTTCCAGGCATCTACTACCCGCTGTGTAGGAAAAAAAACTTGCCTCGCCCATCTCCTTTTAAACTTTCACCCTCTGCCTTTAAGCCTTGTATTTCATATTTCCACCCTATCCATGCCTCTCATAATCTTATATAATTCTATCAAGTAGCTTCTCAGCTTGCAGCGCTCAAGTGAAAACAATCCAAGTTTGTCCACCTGTTCCTTAGAGCTAATACATTCCAATTCAGGCAACATCCTGGTAAACCTCTTCTGCACCCTCGCCAAAGCCTCCATTTTTTTTCTATAGTGTGGCGACCAGAACTACACAATGTTTCAAAATCATGACAGTTTTCAAGTAATTGTACAATGTGCGTGTTAGTTTAAATATTAATGAAGATAACAGTATTTAAAGATTTATTTTCATGTGGACAACACATCAAAAATACCCTCAATTACTGAACCGAGTTAACTGATATGCCTGAATTACTGTGCAAAGTCAAGATAGTCAATAGTGAACAGTTTGTACAACGAAATAATGATGTCAGTGCTGCAACATTACGGCATAATTTGCACATTATGATATAACTTAGAAATAAAAGTTCATTGGAAATTGTGGAGTTACAAATTTGTTTGAGTTTAATTAATCCAGTCTTTGAAGAAAGTTGATTTCAATTTAATGAGCATATTATCCTTTGTGAATGGGAAAAATAATTTGTAGTTTAGGTATTGCTTTGAAAAAAATCCCTTTGTATTTCATGTATGATGTAGCTCCCTCAATTAGATGTGACTGCCAACAACAGCCCAGCCAAACCCTCCATCCCGGATAGGCCTTGGAAATATTAGTACAATTAAATATAAATGTAATTATTTTTGCAGAAACAATTATTTGATTATATGAATTCGACTTTGATAGTATTGTACAAGGTTGGCATATATAATTACCATGGAAAGTAACTGTTGAGATTTTTATTCTAATTTACTCCAACTCACAAAAAGATTTTTAAAATTTTAAATATACTTTTAAAAGTGGCTATGAAACATGGCAATTTTTAATCATGGAAGGCAATTCAGTATTGGCAGTCTATATTATATCAATGTTTTAACTAATTGTGTATATATATATTAAGTCCTTTCTAAATGTCATTGATTGCATTCTAATGTAAACACGTTGACTAATGCTCTTCATACTAAGAATTCCCTTGACAGCTGCATGTAATCTGCTTGGAATCATGTGGATTACAACCTGCTGAACATGGTGCAGTTTATTATTTGCATTTGCGACTCTGGAAAACTGTACTTACTTTTCCATGTGAAGAATGTAGAATAAAAGTTTTATTCCCGATAATGTATGAGAGTTTGGCTTATTCAGAATTTACTTGCTGAAAACTGACTGAAACTGAGGAACAAATCTTTAGATCATGGATTTATCTTATAAATTGCAATTCTGTCTATGGAAATTCAAATCATATTTTTAAAATCACTAGAAATAACCAGTATTCCTCATTTCAAGAATGGTAATCTTCAAATGGACATTAGGTCTCATGGCCTTATTAGAAATTTTTGCTTCATTTTGCATGACAACACTAAAAGTTATTTTTCCCTCTAAAGATGGAGATAGTAGAAGAGCTGCAAACAGCTAGATATGAAAAAGTCTTGGAGGTGGAACTGGGACAGAGCTATGGAGAGTTGACAAGCATGGAGATAGATCCGCCTCAGGAAATAAAAGTATGCTCAAGTAAGTTACATTTAAATTATTTATTTCATTTTTTTTCCACATTCTTTACCTTCTTTGGAATACTGTCTCTGCAAACAATGCTCTTTTTCTAAATAGCATTTTTTGTGAGTGATCTTTTCCACTAAAAAAAAGGAAAAATTCCAGCTCGTAACAACAGTTGATTGAGCATTTTCTAGTATTATTAGGAAGTTTGGCTAATTTTAAGCCTCATTATACTTAAAACAAAAAGAAAGTGTTTGCTGTGTTTTGTATTCGTGCAGTTTGTAATCCCCCAATTGATGAAAATGAACAATTATCAGTCCAGAAATTTAAAGAAATTACTTCAACCAGAGTCATTAAATGTTTTGTTGAATGCGCACAGGCAAATTCCTGTACTTTACCAGTTTCCATATTTTGTTTCTTTGTTCATGGGGTGTGAGAATTGCTGGCTGGGCCAACATGTATTGTCCATTCCTAGTTGCCCTTGAGAATGTGGTGGTTTGCTGCTGCCTTCAACCGTTGCAGTCCATTTGCTGTAGGTACACCCACAGTGTTATTGGGATGGGAGCTGCAGGATTTTAACCCAGGAGCAGTGATGTACTTCCAAGTCAGGATTGGAGGGCAACTTACAGGTCATGGTATCACGTATCTGCTGTCCTTGTTTTTCTAGATGGTCATGGGTTTGGAAAGTGTTGTCTAAGGAGCCTTAGTGAATTTTTGCAGTGCATCTTGATGATGGTACACAGTACTACAACTGAGTATTGGCAGTGGATGTGGTGCCAATCAAGCAGGCTGTTTGTTTCCTGGATGGCCTCTTGAGTGATGTTTGAGCTGCATTCATTCTTCTCGTTTCTGACTTGTGCCTTGTAGATGGCGGAAGCCTCTGGGGAGTCAGGAGATGAGTACCTGCTGCAAGATTCCCAGCCTTTGACCTGCTCCTTTTGCCGCAGTATTTCAATGGATAGTCTAGTTCAGTTTCTGGTAACCTCCAGGATATTGATAGTGGCGGATTCAGTGACAGTATCAGTGGCAGTTTTGTTGAAATTGATGGAAAATTACATTGCTTTAAAGCAAAAATTGTGGTAAATCACAAGATTAATTTTCACGTGTTAATTGGGTAAATTATAGTCATATATGCTGGTAAGGCATCCAACTTGAGTGGAACTTCTTCCAAAGTTTTTGGCAGGGTAGAAATAGAAGTTTCTGCAGTAACAGTTGTTTGTCTTCTCAGCTCTTCTCTAGGATATACTGTCCAGGAAGATATAAAGAAAAGTGAGGATGAAAAGAAAAACATGTCATACTTTGTTTTTAAGTAATTCATGGGGTGTTGGCATCCCTGGAAAGCCAGCATTTACTGTTGGACAGCTTTTTATGTAATTTCTGAGGGTAGTTAAGAACTGACCAAAGTGCTGTAGGTTTTTCATCTGAATTGGTACAAATAGCAGATTTCCTTCCCTCAACGACATTAAAGTACTCCAGCCATCAGTACTTTAATTACTGATGCTAGACATTTAATTAACTGGTTGAATTGATTTGAACTCTTATCTAGGCCTCTGGCTTTTTTTTCATTCACGGGATGAGGCCAGCATTTATTGCCCATCCATAATTGCCCAAAGGGCAGTTAAAAGTCAACCACATTGCTGTGGGCCTGGAGGTAAAGATGGAAGTTTCCTTTCTTAAAGGACATTTGTGAACCAGATGGGTTTTTCCTGACAATTGGCAATGAATTTACGGTCATCATAAGATTCTTAATTCCAGATCTTTATAGAATTCAGATTCCACCATCTGCTGTGGAGGGATTTGAACCCAGTGCCACCACCCACGCCCCAACCCCACTTCTGCTACTGTCCTCACTTACTATGAGTGTTCACCCTAGAATGAAAAGGAATATTAATTTTCCTTTTTCTCCCCTAAACGTTGACTGTTTAGCTGAAGCTACTTCGAAGTCCGACATTCTCCTTGTACTTGATACCAACATTTTTATCAGTCACCTAAACTTTATTGTGAATATAAAGGACCATGGAGTTGCAGGTATGTGAATATACGTTTAATTATGAAATTAATGAAAACAAAGCTACAGGTTACAGCCATTCTAATCGTGAAAAATGCAAATGTTTTGTTTAAAATATTTAGCACCTCTTCAGACTAAATGTTACAATTTCATTTTGATTTCAAAAACAATTTTGGTAAAATATGTAAGTAATATTTCCTGTAGGTATAAAAGGGACCTAAGAGGCAACTTTTTCATGCAGAGGGTGGTGTGTGTATGGATTGAGCTGCCAGAGGATGTGGTGGAAGTTGGTATGATTACAACATTTAAAAAGCATCTGGATGGGTATATGAATAGGAAGAGTTTTTAGAGGGGTATTGGCCAAATGCTGGTAAATGTTTTTAGAGGGTATCTGCTTGGCATGGATGAGTTGGACCAAAGAGTCTGTTTCCATGCTGTATATCTCTATGACTCTATGAAGATGATGGATGTGTAGTCCAATTCAGAAATCCAAGTAATTTCATACAGTGCTTCAAAGGTAAGTAATATCAGTGTTGTTGATTTACAACATATCTTTTGGAATCCCGTTGAAAGCTATTTTAATTCGTTATCCCAACATTACGCTTTTTTTTAACAAGAGTGTTACTTTATTATTGTTGCATGTTGCAGTTGATATTTTGTTGAAAAAGGGATTTTCATTGTTAAATATAATTGACATGTCTTGGATCAACCTATTGTTTTGGTGTTTTGAAATAGAGATGATACTGAGTTCAACAAGTCATCACTGAGTTTTAGATTTGGTTTGCTTAGATAGTAATATTCTTGCTTTCTTTATGTTAAACTTTTGAATGGGTTCGTTCAAAGTCCGTTTCAAATGTCCTTAGATTTATGCATGTGCTACAGTATTAATAGCTGTTTATCCTATGCTGAAAAATCCACCTGTACCCAAAGGTAGCAAAGATGCCATTATACTGTTCATGAAACAAGGAAGAACTATCCATTGACTATCCTCTTCCTGTCTGTCGTTATACTCCGTATAACTGGGACTTGGGTAACTTGAGCTAAATAGCTTCAAATGTGTTGACGTGATGGGAAAGGTTCTCTGATGACAGCTTCAATATCTAAATAGGAGACAGACCAAATATCAAATTAGTAAACAATACAATTGTACAGTTATACTCTTATAATTACAGGTGTTGGTTTCCCAATTATCGTCATTCCATGGGTAGTTCTACAGGAATTGGATTCCTTAAAAAATGGAAGGCTCTCCGGAGGTGTGAATCGTAAAGCCATACCCGCTGTACAGTTCATTTATTCCTGCTTTAAAAGTCGACATCCACATGTATGGGGGCAGTCCATGCAACAGGCAGCTCAGAAGTTCTGTAAGTTAATATAGTGCCATCACTGCAACTTTTTGGAGATTTTTTTAAAATCAGAGTGCATTCACTTTGACAGCTTATTATCTTGTGATTGCCAACAAATAAGTATGAGATAGAGGTCTAATATTGGACTGCAGTTTACTGAATGACAAATGCAATCAAAAAGCCACATTTCAAAACTCTTCACATATGTCTTACTCTCAATTTTGCTGTTTTCTTTTTGTTTAATCATCACCATCCTATCTCAGTGCCACTGGATCTTTTGTCAAACTTGGTTTCATTTTATAAATAATGTATTTGAACTTTTTATTTGTTGTGTCAATTTTTTTCCTCGTTTTGTCTTCTGAACATGGAGTCCTGTCGGTGTATGGGTCCATGGGCACCATCAAATTCCACTATCTTGTCCAGTGGGCACTCTGAATGTTTGAGCTGTGATGGTGTATGTTGTCAGATTACACTTGTGGGAAGAAAACAGTCAGGCTTAAATGTATCTTCACCTCACCCTTCCACTCAAGCACTCTCAACAGGGATTATTGAATAATAAACAGGACAGGACTATAATCAGAAACATTGTGATCAACAAGATGCAATTTTTTAAATTATGAATTTGAATTTTTGATGTGAAAAATACCAAAGGTAGTAATCACATATACTTCAGTCGCCTCACAGTAGTTACTGAACAATTGAAGCAACAGCCATGTGTAAGATTGACCTGATTTCATGTTAAGTCAATCATGATGGGCAGATTTTAGTTTCCTATTTTAAAAGAAACCCCTACGTAATTATCTGTATAGGGAAAAGGTTTTTGCTCGACTTCCTTTAATGCCCTACACCTCTTAGCACATTAATTCTACCATTTACAAGGCACAGACCAAGAATTTGATGTAACACTCTCCACTTGTCTGGTTATTTGCTGCTGCAGGTAACACTGAAGAGGCTCAGCATTATTCAGGGCAAAGCAGCCTGCTTGATCAGCACCCCATCCACCACCTTAAGCACCTCCCTCCTCCACTGGCATGATATACCTGCAGTGTGTACTATCTCCATGGTTTCCTGTAATAACTTGCCAAGGCTTCTTCATCAGCCCTTCCACACCCACAACTCTACTGTTTCCAAAAAAATGGCAGCAGATGGGTGGAGACACTATCACTTGTAGGTTCCCATCTAGGCTACACACCCATCCTTATGATTTTTAAAAAAAGAATGCTGTGGGATGACCTGATCATTAACAAGTTAATAAATGCGCTTGTTCCAATAGGCAATACAGATCCCATGATAGTATTCTTAAAAGGCAAGGACGTGTGATTGTTTGTTTAGAATTAGAATTTATTGTCATGTGTACTCAAGTATAGGAATGCATGAGTACAGTCAAAAGTAGTCAAAGTCGTCATTCTCTGGCACCATCTTGGTTACAAAACTGTGACTGCTGCCGCAGCAATGGCCTGCTCTCACTGCCGATGCTGAGCTGCCACATCCTACAATCGCCAGGAGGAGTCTGGGTGGCCGCTGCCACCTCATTCGTGATACAACACTGTAAGAACTTCAGTTCAGGAATATGACACTGTATTCTAAAGGGTAGTTAAAGAACGGCAACAAAATCTTCAGCTTCCCATGGACACCATATTCCTGGTAAGAATTTAAGCAAAGAATGTTTCTTTACTATTGCTGGATCAAAGTCTTGGAACGCCCTCTCTAAATACACTTCACCAACATGGATGGCAGTGATTCAAGAAAACAGTTCATTATTACCTTCTCAAGAGTATTTATGAATGTTGATCTTGCCAGTGATGCCCACATCCTGTGAATTAATTTAAAAAGATGCAATTATTAATGTTGAGTAACACTTGAATATAACTTGTAACAGTAATTGAGGTAAGGTTCAGATTTAGCTACGCATTTAATTTATTTTATTACCAGTGTATTTTTTAAAATTAACTTGACCAAGTTTTTCATAAGGTATTGAATTAATTAGAAATATTTTGCTTGTCTTGTATGCCTATGATAAAACAAAGGGGAGCTGACAGTAGCAACATATGGTTGCATTTTATGATAGTTACTGTAGGTGGCATACGTTTACTAGAAATAATTTCAATGCTGCAAGAAACTGTAAATTGTATGGTAGCTCTTAAATTCAAATTATCTATGCTGTATTTTATTTTCTATTTAATTTACTTTATGTTATAAAAACAGTAGTGACTACACTTCCAAAAGTAATTACTTGGCTATGAAGTATTGCAGAATGTTTTGAGAGTGTGAATAGAAGTTTCCCTTGTCTCTCTGACTGACAGCCAAACATTTTAACCAGATTACTAATAGTGTTGTTACTCCTAGTAAGTCAGACGATATGTTTTGTCTCCTTTTTTTCTTTGTATAGCCCCATCTTATCTGAGAAACAGCTTCTCCAATAATACAGATAGCCATTGGTGCTATTGAGAATTGTCAGTCTCGATTGTAATAGAATGGTCTTAAATCCACGACCTTCTGAATCAGGCAAATATGCAACTGTTAAGCTGAGGAGGAGATGAGAGAGAGAAGGATTGGGTAAGGAATGAATAGAAACATTTAGCTGGAGTACTTTAGTGAGAAGGAAAATAGAAGGTTGATGAAGGAATAACATGGTTGAAGGAATAGTTCAAGTGCCAGAAAGAATAAGTGCTGTGATTGGTGATTGATTAACTGATTTATTGTTGTCACACATACCGAGATAAAGTAAAAAGTGTTGTTTTGCATACCATGCAGGCAGATCGTACCATACAAAGTGCATCAGGATGCAGAATACAGTGTTGCAGCCAAAAAGAAGGTGCAGAGAGATCAGAATTGACATTTGAGATGTCCATTCAAAAGTTTGATAACAGCAGGGAAAAAGCTGTTCTTGAATCTATTTGTACATGCATTCAAACTTTTATATCTTCTGCCTTGTTGAAGAGAGTATAACCAGGGTGAGAGGGGTCTTTGATTATGTTAATTGCTTTCCTGAGACAATGGGCAGTGTCGATGGAATCAATGGATGGAAGGCTCATTTGCGTTTTGAACTGGGTTGTGTTCATGACTCTTTAGTTTCTTGCGGTTTTGGGAAGAGTAGTTGCCAAACCAATCTGTGATGCATCCAGATAGGGTGCTTTCTTTGGTGCATTTATAAAAATTGGTAGTGTCCTTGTCGACATGGTGAATTTCCTTAGCCTCCTGAGGAAGTAGAGACGTTGTTGTGCTTTATTGACCGACGTGTGAACCAGGACAGATTGTTGCTGATCATCACTCTCGGGAACTTGATGCTCTCTACCATTTCTGTCTCAGCACCATTGATGCAGACAGGGGCAAGTCTCCACTCTGCTTTCTGAAATCAATGACCAGCTCCTTCATTTTGTTGACGTTGATGGAGAGATTATTGTATTTACACCATGCCGCTAAGCTCTCAATCTCCTTCCTATATTCTGTCTCATCATTATTTGAGATCTGACATACAACGGTGGTGTTGTCAGCAAACTTGTAAATGGAGCTGGGGTGGAATTTTGCCGCAGAGTTATAAATGTATAAGGAGTATAGTGGGAGCAGGGGCTGCTGAGTACCCAGACATGTGGGGCGCTGGTGTTGAGGATTATGGTGGAGGAGGTGTTGTCGCCTTTTCTCACTGATAATGGTCTATGGGTCAGGATGTTGAGGATCCAGTTAGAGAGGGAAGTCGGGACCTAGGTCTTGGAGTTTAGAGATGAGTTCGTTTGGAATTGTGGGTTGAAGGCGGGGAACTGTAGTCAATAACTTGGAGCCTGACCTGGTGGTAAACTGAAAAATTAAATCTCGACTCCATTTTAGGTGCAGGCTGTGCTAACTAAATGAAAGTAGTTGATGTAAATGGAAGGGCAACATTGGGATACTTTTCCGGGTGGGAGAATCCCTATTTGCAAATGTAAACCTACCTTGTAGCTTTCATCAACAGTGGGAAGTCCCCTTCGCTGACTCATGCCATCTCTTCATCTCTTAGCTTAATGTTTTTTTGACACAAAACAGGGTTTGATTGGTAAATAATTTTTCGAATTTTTCTCTCCTTCCCAACGAACTTATTTTAAACAAAATTATTTAATTTAAAGTTTACTATTTTTAACATTTTTCTTTAAAATAATTTTGAAAACAGCATTTGAAGAAAATGTTGAATTAGTACAATTGCCTTAATGCTCCTGATGTTTCTTAGGAGATCAGATTCACAGCACATGCTCAGACTACAATCCAAATTTAGATTACAGCTTTGGACAAAAATATCAAGTTCAAACTCAGACTTTTGACAGAGACTGGAGCATTGGATAAAAATGTTAATGACAATATTCAAAGAGACAAAAACACCTTAATTAGATTTGTGAAGCTTGTCATTATTTAAAATATTACTTGAATTTTTAATTTGGATACTGGAAATTTCACTCGCTGATCACATGTAGTGGATCAGAAACCTTTAGAAAATCAAACTGATTTGTCTGGGAGAATATAGTGCGCGTCAGTGATTTGAAACTGTAACTCACACAAATGTAAAATCCTGTTATATCACTTATAGGTATCTGCAGCAATTACAATTGATATCTTTTCTATTGCTGATTCTCCCATTATCAACATCCTGGAAGCTACTATTGACCGGAACCTGAGCTGGAACAGCTGTATAATACTGTAGCTACAAGAAAAACTCAGAAACTGGGAATCCACCAGTGTGTAACACACCACCGAAGTTCCTAATCTTACTTTCTGCAGCTCCCAATGGACTGCAGTTGCTCAAGAAGGCAGATCACCACCAGCTTCTCAGGGCAGTTTGTAGGGGTGGTCGTAATGATTGGCCTAACCAGCACTGCCCACACACTTAGACATAATTTTTGTAAAAAGTGAGTGCAGACCTGATTAACATTGACAGTTCAAAGGAGATCATAGAGTGAATGTGCCATCTCCAGCAATACCTATTTAGATGAGAAGTGTTCAATTCATCTTCCACAATTATATATCCCACGATTGTATAGTTTAAGGTGAAAATGTTAAAAAGTTCAGAATCCATCAGTATTGAAGCTGTTATGAAATAATTTTTTTTCTGGTCTCATTATATGCTGTGGTTTACCTCCTGCCTTTATTGTTCTTTTGTGTTCATTCATTAATTAAAGTATCTCTCTTTCCATTGCACCTCAAACTATCCCTGCCTGTGATACACAAATATTTCTCTTAATTTTAAAATTGGAAACAATTGCAAAGTCATCATTATATTTATTTATGACGCTAATGTATCTTCAGTGGGAATTTAGTTTATGGCTCAAGGAAGAAAATTCAAACTGTTTCAAGATGTAGCTTTATTTCTTGGTGTAGCATGTGGTTTTCAGTGAGCAGTAATTACTACTGGCCATTTGGTGTTGGGTAGTTTGAGTTATTCCCAGAACTAACTACATCATATATTGGCAGCTCTCATGGAAACACTGAGCTGATTGTTGGGGATTGATTAACCATTGTTACATGTAGACATGAAAAATTCTCTTTTCCCTCCTCCCTCCCTGACTTAAGTTGCATTTGTCCTGTCTCCAATATTAGTCCATGAATCAGGTCATGCAGTTATAGGATTGCAGCACTAAAAGTTAATTTTACCTAGAAATTACTGATGCTCGGGGTGGGGAGGGTGGAATTTTCTCCTGATTGCAGTCATACTCAGCTGAAAGAAGTTGGTTGTTGGTGAGCCACTATTTCAAGATTTTCTTCATTGCAAGAGTTTAGTCAGGCAATGTTGGTGGCCCAACCACCTTCAGAAGCTTGCTTAATGACTTCCCTACAATATATTCACTGATGATTTCATGGTGTTCAGTTCTATTTGCAAATCCTCAGAAACTGAAGCGCTCTGTGCCTGTGTGCAGTAAGACCTGGCTAACATTCAGGCTTGGGATGTTGTATGGCACAAATATTATTTGGCAATGTCAGGCTGTGACCGTTTCCAACAAGAGAAATTCTAATTATCTCCCCTTGAGGTTCAAAGACATTACCATGATGAAATCCCCACCTGTTAATGTCTGGGGTGGGGTGGAGAGGATAGTTACTGTTGACCAGAAATTTAACATACTTATCATATAAATACTGTGGCTGCACAAACAGGTCACAGGCTGGGATTTATGCAACAAGTAACTCCCCTCCTGACTCCCCAAAGCCTATCTGCCATCTACAAGACTCTAGTCAGGAATGTGTTGGAATACTCTCCTCTCCTTATGCCTGGAAGAAGCTTGACACCATCCAGAACAAAGCAGCCTGTTTAATCATCACTCCATTATCTATCTTAAAGAATTATTCCCTCCACCCTGGGTTCATATTGCTGTCTATGTTTTACATCCACACGATGCATTTCAGAAACCTCAAACTCGACTTGACATCACTTTCCAAATCAGCTACCTCAACATCCTAGAAGAACAAAGGTACCAGATGTACGTGAGCCACACCATCTGTAAGACAACACCATCCTAACTTGGAATCATTTCGCCACTTCTTCATTGTTACTGCACCAAAATCCTAGAATGTTCTCCCGAACAACGCCTTTGGTGTACCAATGCTTCATGGATTGCAGTGATTCAAAAAGACAGCTCACCATTTGTTTCTAAAGAAACGACCAAGTTGAAGAAAAGAAGTTTGCAGCATATGCTTTGAAATAGTAAAATCTAAAGTAAATACTTAAAGTTACGGTAAATTTTGCTGCATCTTAGACAAAATGCTTTTGGTTGCCTTAGTGAGAAAGCAAGCCATTGGCTAAAAAGCATTTTCTTAAAACCGCAAATTGTTATTGTGTTTTAGTTTGGTCATGTGCATCGAAAGTAAGCTGAGTTAGAAAGTGTTCTAACAAGTCAAAATAACGAAAGTCATGTGAAATTCAGCTGACTTCTTTTCTTTTATTCTACATTGCTAATAAAAAAAAAGTCACTTGCAGTCATTCAATATGTAAGGTGCCTCCTTGTGAATTTTATCTCCAAAGGTGGCTTACGTGAAGAAAACAATGATGATCGTGTGTTGCAGTGTTGTTTACAATATCAGCAGTTATACTCTTCTGCAGATGTCCTCCTGTGCAGGTAAGATGGTGCTGTAGAATTCATTGTCTGTGTAATTACACACAAAATGTTAATCAGTGGTAAAATAAATAGGGGCTGAAATTGAACAGCCTCTGAAAATGTGTTTGTAAATTTTGCTGTGATGTTGGCTTGTTGATTGAAATTAAAACTAGCCTACAGTTATTTAAACATAGCCTGCGCCTCCTACAATGGAGTGACATTGTGACTGCAGTATTTGCTGGGTGCCATACAAGAAAGAGACTTTGCCCATGGTGATCATAAAGAATAGCTCCATGGTTTGCAGATGCTGCATTGTAGATCTTGATGGAGGAGCTGTCTAAGCCCTAAGCTTTACGATTCTTTTGAATCTGTCAACTGGTCTTTCCCTCCTTTTTAATATACTTGTTAAAGCCTTTTTGGTCATCTTCCCCAATATGTAGCTTGGTGTCAAATAACATTCACTACAATAACAATAACATTGTAACATTCTATTATCTTAAAAGTGCTGTGTATATACAAGCTGCTGTTGGTTGCAAACTCTCAACTTCCCAGACAACTTTCTAGACAATCATGACCTAGGTATGCCTCTCACCATCTCAGTTGCAGTTGGTTATTTGCTTTTTTCACCAATCTCTTTTATTGGTGCAGCTCCCAGTGTAAACTCCACAGTGTATTCTCAGCTGTCTGTGATCTCCAACAAGCAAAAAACAACTGCCTTGATTTTACACAACTTCAATCTTTTGGCTCAGTCTGTAGCCTATTTTCAGCTGCTACTTGGTTTTTGTTTTAAGATTTGTTATGATCTCAGACTGGACCGTCAAATTTATATTGCAAACTGAACACGAAATGGTAACTTTGAAAAAAAAAAGACGAAATGTGAGATCCAAGTACTTACTAAGAAAATAAAACCATAAGATTCTATGGTTTTGTACAAACAGCAACAAACTTTCCTGTACAAAGTTAGAACAATGATACAATTTATAATACAAATATATGGATACAAGACTTACATTCTAAGACCTAGAATTAACCTGAAATAAATATGGATAACAGACAAACTTTGGTCAAGCACCTCACAGATCACCTGAAATATCAAATGTGGTTGAGACCGTTCCCATGAATTTCTCAGCAACCCCCCAAGGGTGGCTGTTGGTTTGTGGGTTACACTGATACCTAGGGGTCTGAGTAGTCTTATGGTCATCTTTGATATGTTTCTGATGCACAGTAGAGTGACTAATGCTTTTGGATACCCAAAAAGCACAATCTGCCGTTACCTCTGCGACAAGAAGACACAACATGGCCAGACACACTAGTCACCCTACCGTACATCAGGGACATATCAGAGATGACCACAAGAATACTAAAACCCCTAGGTACCAGGGTAACCCAGAAACTAATAACTGCTGACGAATGTAAAGGATCCCAGACCCACAACCCAAAAACTAACGTAATATACAAATTACCATGCAAGGACTGTGAGAAACTTTACATAGGCCAAACTGGAAGAAAACTGACAATAAGGATACACAAACACCAACTAGCCACCAAGAGACACGACCAATTTTCACTTGTCTCAATACACCTGGACAAAGAAGGACACAAATTTGACTGGGACAACACATCCATAATAGCATGAGCCAAACAGGGAATTCTTGGAGGCCTGGCATTCCAACTGGAACTCCCATCAACAAACACATTGAACTGGCCCCGATGTACAAACCAGTGAAAAACAGAAATGGAAGCGATGCCAACCACCCCAGCAAACCAAGACATATAGATAACAGGCGGGACAGAACACCAACGCTTCATCGGGGCGGCGGGGGGGCATTGACGATGTTACCTACCAGGGTGACAAAACGTTTGCAATCAAACACACCAGCTCAGCGAGCAAGTCTACAACCTCTTCCCTAACCCAAGCTACAAATCTTCTCAAACTTTAAGCACCTACGGGCGCAACACCCTGAAACTGGCCTGCAGCTGGGAGACAAATGCCATCTGTCTGAACGCGACCCGCGAACAACAATACCTCCTGCATGAATGCCTCAGAAAACAGGTACTACCACAAAGCTTAAAATATAAACCACCTATCAGCAATTTGCAGGCACGGAGAGCAGCTGCACAGAATGGTTGCAGAATGATAAGGGTTATGATCAATGATCCCCACAACTGTGTCCACAAAAACAAGCCAGAAATTGCACGCCATAAAGGAAATTTGCAGTCCAACGCAACCAACCAAGAATGGACAACCACACTGGAACAAGCCATCACTACACAACAACAAAAGACCAGAAGAAAAGAATTGCCTTAAAAGAAAAACAAGCTAAACTCACCCACAATAATGTCACGGACAACATGGAAACATGGATCAAGAACATCTCAGACCAACCACTTACACTGAGAAGACTGTCTTAGTACGTGACTTGCTGGCCGCACTGGAATCAACACTGAAGAGCAACGGACTCGCGGAGGAAATACAACAGACCATCAGACAGACAATAGTCTGAACACTGAGCAGAAAGGGCAAGTGGAACACATTTAACACAGAAGAGAAGAAAGCCCTGGAAATACTCAAGGACGACAAAAGCATCGTATTATCGGCAGACAAAGGACGCATGACAATAATCCTCAGTAGAGCCCAATACATCGAGAAAGCTAACGCACTACTAGCGGATACTGACACCTAGCAACAGATAGCGATAGACCCAACACTGCAGTTAGAGAACCGAATTACAACAACCCTGAAGAAATTACACAATTCAGGAGATATCAGCAAGACAGACTAGCAAAAAATGAAGCCAGAGGGATCCAATACACCCTGCTTCTATGGAATCCCCAAGGTACACAAGCCAGGGATTCCCCTCAGACGCATTGTCTCACTACCAGCCACACCAACATATCGACTAGCCAAAGAACTACAATGGAAACTGAAATACTTAGTTGACAACACTAACCACTCCTCCCATGAAATCTTCAACATCATCAAGGACACCAGAAAAGGAGGGCGAGATAATGGTATCCTTTGACCGAGCCAAAGAAACAATTGCCATACTGCTGGACGAACTGGGGAAACAGGCACTCCACAACACCAGCAGCATCAACAAGGACAGCACCCTGAAACTGCTGGATCTGTGCCTCATAACCCACTTCACCTTCAACGACCATATATTCAAACAAATCAACGGAACACAAATGGGATCCCCAGTTTCAGACTGATAACAGAAGCAGTAATGTTCAGCTTAGAACGGACAGCGCTCCCCACAATACAACCGAAACTCTGGGTCTGCTATGTAGATGACACCTTTTGTGATTATCATACGCACAAACCGACACACAAACAACATCTTTACCGGAATAAAATTCACAAAAGATGAAGAGAACAATAACTGACTACCCTTCCTCGACATAATGGTAGAGTGCAAGAACAACAGGGAACTCCAGACTGGCACATACAGAAAGACCACACGTACGGATCAGATACTTAATTACTCCAGCAACCACCCGAACACCCATAAACTGAGCTGCATCGGGACATTATTCAAATGGGCCACAACACGTTGCAGCAACCTGGAAGTGCGCAAAGCAGAACAGGAGCACTTATATGGAGTGTTTAAAAGAAATGGATACTCAAAAAGCACTCCGTGACAGACCACAACAAGAAGGCACGACATGGCTGGACATACTAGTCACCCTGCCATACATCAGAGACAAGTCAGAGATGACCACAAGATGATTCAGACCTCTAGGTATCCAGGGTAGCCCACAAACTAACAACCACCCTGCGACAGCTACTGTCGAACGTAAAGATCCCATACCCACAACCAATAAAATTAACATGATATACAAAATACCAGCCAAGGACTGTGAGAAACTTTACATAGGCCAAACTGGAAGAAAACTGACAATAAGGATACGCAAACACCAACTAGCCACCAAGAGACATGACCAGTTTTCACTTGTCACAATACATGTGGGCAAAGAAGGACACAAATTCTACTGGGGCAACATATCCATAATAGCACGAGCCAAACAAAGACATGCCAGGGAATTCCTGGAGGCCTGGCATTCCAACTGGAACTCCATCAACAAACACATTGAACTGGACCCAACGTACAGACCATTGAAAAACAGAGCCCGAAGTGAT